TCTTCCTTTTTTAATTCTTTAAACGTTATATTGAAGAAAATTCTTTATCTCCTCATTCAGAAACAATGTTGCTAATTCTTAAAGATGTTGGAACCACTGGGCACTTACTAGAATAAGTAATAAAGGACAGATGTCTCGAGTCACAACAACTTTGAGCATTCCTGTCATCTCGTGGGTTGAGGTTGGTCCACCACACTCCAGGAGATGCTCCATAGGCCCACTGTAGCCCCAGGGATTGATGACCAATGGACTCCCTCCTCCAGAAGCAGCAGCAGATCTGTCAGTCAAGGATCCAACTTACAGAGTAGGAGTCCTGGATATCACAGAGCAGTGACCAAGAGCCAAACTGCAGCATCAGATGGCAGGGGTTGAAATCCCTACTCTGTCACTTATAAACTGTGTGACCTCCCACATTACCAAACCTGTCCTTACTCAACTTTCCCCATACGCAGATGGAGGATAATAATGCCACTTATCCCAATGGGCTAGTGTATCTATCAAAAGAGGTGATCCGTGTCAAGCCCCTCCACATTCAGCCTGTGCTGGATATTTTATTGTACTCATGAGCAAGTGGAACGCTTGGCTGGTCATCCATGTGACTATTTTTATTTTTATTTTTCAGTTGTAGTTGGACATAATACCTGTATTTTATTTATTTACTTTTATGTGGTGCTGAGGATTAAACCCAGAGCCTCGCATGTGCTAGGCAAGCTATCTACTGCTGAGTGATCTACCCCAGCCCCACATGACTATTTTTATATAAGAATAATTGAGATCTAAATAGTATTGCATGTTAACTATGTTTCCAAAGCATCCCAAGGGCTTTCTAGACATCTTCTCACTCAACCTCCTCACAACCCTTAGGTAACTGTTATTCTTATTACAGATGGAGAATAGAAGGCCAAAGAGGATCTATTGTTTTCCCAAGGCTTATGCTGAATTTAAAGCAAGCTCTGTCTGCACATAAAGCCCACTGCATCGGTGCGATGCTGGGTGCCTCCTGCATGCACATGTCTCTGGTAATGATGATGGGGTTGTGATCATGACTGTTCTTGCCATTCCCCACTGCTAAGCCTACCTTAGTCCACCCTATCACAGATGCCTCGGTGCCCACTGCCCACTCTGTCCACCCAGATCCCTGCCTCTCCTCTCTGAACCGTGCTTAGCCCTCTTGGACTGAAAACCACACTTCACTGGTCTCCAGTGCATGTTGCATCCAACAGAGAAAAATATATTTTATGTTTTTCTTGTATGTCACACTGTCCTTAACAGGACAAATATTCATGAGCCTGCCAGTTTAATGTGACATATTACATGTCACTTTCCATTTTGGCTTTAGATGTCACAGAATTCAGAAGCAGCATTCTCCCTGATGGCTGTAGAAGAGAACAACATAGTTTCTTTATTAATGAAATTATTAAAAGGATGATTATTCTTTATGCATGATCACATGACCTATGTTGATTTTTTTTTTCCTACATGCTTTGTTAGTGTAGAAAGGACCACCTGTCCTTCATGTTCTTCTTTAGTCTGGTTTGGTTTCATTTTAACATATAAACCAGGTCTTCCATCATTGATAAAAGAAAAAGAACAAAGTTATATGCAATGGTTACTTTTTAAGATAAAAGAAAAAATGAGGGTTAAGGAAAGGACTTCAAAGTTAATTTACCAAAATCCAACTACATCCTTGACCTGTGCAGACCCCAATAAGGCATTAATTACAAAAGGATTAACACTTTTCTCCATTGTAACAATGGAGTCCTCTGTCAATGGAAGGTGATAACAATATTTGCATTTATTCATTAGCACGGGATTCACAGATTATGAGAAAGGTCTTCACATTCTCCCTAAATGAAGTTAAGCATCCCCAGTAAAGGGACAGAGAGTCTTTCATAGTTTAGTAAGAAGCAAAGACTTTGAAACCAGCAACTTCTTGCTGAGTGCTTTGCCTAAAGCTAGTAGAGTACTGGTATTTATTCTACTGGCTACGCTGCGTCTGCGTCTGCAGCTGACCCCCAGGATACTGTAAGGAAACTGTCTTCTGCTGCACTGGGCACTCCTCCTTCTTTCCCCTTCCCACTGCCCACTCGAAGACTGTCAAATCTCATAGTGAATGCAATGCTCAGTGCGAGAGACATAAATAAACACCACTTCTTCCCTGAATGATTCAACATGTTGCACCCATGTCGGACTAGAGAATACCATTAGCATGGTAAATTTTAGTTATAAACATTTAGAGTTATTTTTTTCCTTAACTAAATTCTGACACAACTCTACTCTCCATGCCTTGAAATAGGATTTTATACTTTTTGTGGAATGGCATGACTCTGTTAAAAAACATAGTAAATACAAGGATGCTCAGGCCAAGGAAAGAAAAAAAAGGACTTATGAATAGTATACACACCCTCAGTGGAATTTTCTTACTCTTTCAAGTTTGTCCTCCTATCTAGGTCAAGTTAGCAGTGCTGCCAAAATCTTTAGAGGCATAAGGAAGCCGTTCGCATGCTGATAACCTTGAAAGATGAATGGAAGACTCTCTAAGAGCTTTCCTTAAAGGCTCATTTTGCCTCCATGCAGAGGATATTTGATTAAAAATAAAACGGAGTTGTCATAAGTGTCAAATTCCACCACAATGCTGACACTCTTTGAACAGATCACCTTCCTCCACACACGTTGCTTCAAGTGTAAGCTATTAGGCAACACGAAGACAAATGGTAGCACCATGGTACAGCTGGGTGTGGTGGCCAGAGCACTGCCCATCTTCAGAAGTCTTCATCTCCTGGAGTAACACCCATGATCCTGTTATGTGACACGGCAAAAGACATCTTAGAGACGTAATTAAGACTACGTGTCAGTTGACCCTGAATAAATCAAAAGAGAGGTGTGAGCGACCCTCAGCTAATCACTTGAGACCTTTCAAAAGAGTTTTCATCAGCTGGTGGCAGAAGAGGACATCTGAGAAGTCCAGCCAAGCCAGAGGGCCTCAACATGAGGAAGGTCCTGTGTTACAGAGATGGAGGGAACCATATGGCCAGGACTTGAATGTGCCCACTAGGAGCTGACAGTATTTCTTGGCCAACAGTGAGCCAGAAATCTAGAACTGCAAGGACCACAGTACTACCATCAATCAGAATGAGATGGAAATTGATTCTTTTCAGAACCTCCATCCTAACCCAGCTGACCCCTTGATTTTTACCTGGGAAATCCCATGCCAATAACCCTGTTATACCCACCCAGATGTTTGATCTACAGAACAATGAGGTAATAATCGAGTAGAATTTCCAGATCTTACATTTGTGGTAATTTGTCACACAGCAATATAAAATGAACACACTTGGTACAAACTGAGAACTGATTTCCAAACACTTCCCAGTGTTCTGCTCAGTCTCCTTCCCAACAGAGTTGTACTCACTGATTCCTGAACACACCTTTTGCTTTCTCCCACGCACTGTCTACCCACATTATTTTAATCCCCCTCCCCAAGACCCCTTCTCTGTTTTGCCAAGACCTTGAAGCTGACTCGGATCCACCCACTGGAAAGAAAGGGTCCTCATATGGCCTGCAATTCTCTCTCCAAAATCAAGGACTCTTCACCTGTGTAATTCATTAAGAATTAATTATGCCCCACTGTGTGGCACCTTCTCCTAGAAGATCTCTACCCTCATTTTATTACTACTCACTTCTCAATTAGCGAGGCTCTTGAAAGCAAGGTTTTATGCCCCACTCTACCGAATACACACCTTGCACATCAGAGGCACCCAATAAATATTTGTTCATTTATTTTGTTCTAAAATATTTCTCTTCAATGTTAATGAGATTAAATGACACTGAAAATCCAAAGAAAACCTCATTAGCTAAGCAGTGGGAATCTCAGCAGTGACCTGCCCCACATTCCACTTGGCCTTTAACTATCGTGAACTCTCAACACACTTAAACTGTCAAAATTAAAAATGTAACTGCAAAAACAATATAATCGCAGAAAATAATTTTTGCCAATTGATTTGTGTGACTTTCATTGACATTGTAAGCACCCAACTATTCCCTGAACTGCCAATTTACATGGAAAGGGCTGTTCTCTCTAGAGGAGATATTAACAGACTATGCTAAGCACACGAATGTGCAGGAAGCAGAAGGAGCTTCCATCCAAATGCTGGTAACAGTTAAGAATGAGCAAGGATCAGCACAGGCCTGAGGTTACCTGGCGTCGCAGGTCAGGTATATTTGGTATAATCCCTCGAAACACAAATAGGGCTGAAAATCCCAGCTAAGAAATTTACTAAACTAAATGAATCCATTTTAAAGTTTTGGGGGAAAGCAGCAAAAATGCAATTTGGAAAAATAACGGAAGTCAACTTGGCCACAGTTCAGTGCCTGCTCTCTGACGTTCCCCTTCCACCCCACAGCAACACGTCATTCCATAACCCTCTGAAAATTAAGCTTGAACTTTAAAAAGATGGCTATTTTTCTTTGTTTCTCAAAGGAAAATGTAAAATAAAAATCAATTTTATGTGCTCCCAAATATATAAATAGTGTCATAGTCCCCGAGGGCTGGCAGAAACTCTGACAGACTATTTTGTTTATTCTTCTACATTAGGCAGGCCCACACTTAATCCTTTCTTGATAGGAAAATCTCTATCATTTTTAAAGACTTTCCGAGAAGAAGATTTCTCAGACTCACTTGAACTCACTAAGGTAGTTAATAACTTTTCTTATTATCTAGCCTAAATCCTTCACACGATGCTAAAGACTCATTTCTGCTTCTCTGACGTTCACTAGAGGTAGGGGGAATTTATCACTGTCTTTCATATAAGAAATGCTCATACACTGATAATAATTATGGAATCAGCTCTGCAATCTCCTAATGAAATATTCCAAGGCTATTGTGGCTCTCTGCTGAATTTTCTGTAATTTCTGCCCTTCTTTATCTATGAGTCCCCAAAATGGCTGGCAACCACTCTTACAGATTTAATTCCTGATACTGAAGTTACTGGTAGTTCTCATATATTATACTTTGGGTGTCTGTTCAGGGCCATATTTCAGGAATATGGGATGAAACAAATCATCCTAGGATTTTCCACTCTTACAAATAATTTTACAAAGATAATCTGGTCAGAATGAGTGTTGAGGGTAGCTATGTGTTATAGAAATAAGTTACAGAGAGGTTGCCTCTCTAGAAAAAAGAAAAGACAACATAAATACACATCATAGCAGTTGTCTTGCTGCTTCCACCGCCACCTGGTTCTGAGTTCTGACAAGAGTGCATCTCTATTCTTGCAGGATTTTTTCCAAGTTGCTGATGTTGGTCATGCTTAGGCAATGAGGACCTGTCAAGATTGAGTTGAAATGCCCCTCTATTCTATATACCACTCACTGAAACAACTCCGAGCAAAACTGTAGTTGGCATACAGGTGCTGGCTTCCACTGTCTTCACTCTGGTGAGAACAAGACTCCTCTGCATCAGGAGCCAGGTGTCTCCTGGGCTCTTTGCTCTGGTGAGCTTCTCTGTTTCCCAAAGTGCCCTGTGGTCATAGTGATCCACAGGAGACAGTAGGATAGCATTTGAGAGGAAGGGTTTCTAAGTGAGCCACAGAGCTCAGACAGATCCACTGACCTACAAGCCTCCACTTACCACTGAATCAGCACTAATGATTGTAGCCACCTGACAGGTCATGCCAGTAAAGTACCTAGAAGAGATAATACATAGAGAACACAGGGTGGGTGTCAAATATGTGTGTACTCAGAGACACACATACATACAAACCCACAACACCCCAGCAGGAAAAGAGTCTTATAGAAGTCTTTCATTATACGAAATCAGCTTCAGTCACTCACTACTTACTATTGAACACTCTCTGGGGGCCAGATGGGTTAAATATCAGAGTATAAGATAAACAAGATGTAGCCTCTGTCCTCAAAGAACTGGCATTCCGGTACAGAGAGCAGATGTAGGAAGGCAGATCATTCCAACACAACCCAGCTGGTTCTCTGTGAGCTCCCTGAATACAGAAGCACAGTGGCCGTGAGTGCTCTGAAGACCAGAGATCTTACACAGAGGAGGTGACCTTGGAATTTTATCTTCTAAATTATAACTTTTAATTTTAAAAGCATACATCTTTGTTATACATTTCAAAACACAAAAGCCCAGATAAATAAAATTATGTGGAATCCCATGCCAGTAAACAAACAACTTTGAGTATTTTATGTCTTTCCAGAAATTTCATATTAAATACATACATAAAGTACATATGTTTTCTTAGTAAAGGTTATTTAATACATACTACTTTAAATCTGATTTTTCACTTAAAAATGTAGCATGAACAGTTAACTAAATACAACTTTTTTAAGTAGCTGCATGCTATTCTACCAGATATGGATATACACTTCCTCTAACCCACATTTCCTCTCACCCATTCCTTTGAGGGCCTCCAACTGGTTTACACTGAACACTTCTTCAGTAGGAAGTAGATTTATTTAAGAGAAGAAGTGGCTTAGTATAAGGGTGAAGAAAGAATCCAAACACCATGGGAGATGGATCCCAGCAAGAAGAATTCCAAGGACACCAATATGGTAGCCGGAGTCTATGTGGATCTGAATTAAGGCTGTAGCAGTACAGGGAGAGGAAGGATCCAGCCTAGGAGATTCATGAGTTCAAGTTTACAGAAGTTAGGGGCTGACTGTAGGGAACCAAGGAAGAGGAAGGGCCATGCCTTTGTTTGGGGCTTTATCTCCTCTGTGCTTTTTCACCAGGAAAAGAAAAAAAAAAATAAGGAACCCAAGAATAGTGTCTTGGGAAGGATGTGACATTCTGAATTCATTTTAGGATACCCTGAGGCTGAAGCACATATGACACATTGACATGGTGACGATTAGTCCCTGAACTGATATGTGTGTCTGCAGCTCTGTTAATGTCCAGGTGGAAATCTGCTCTGGACGTCTCTAGCAAGACTACAGCGGTGAAGCCTCAGGAATGGGGATGACGATCCAGGGAGCGGGTGAAGGTATGCATGCAAGGACAGTCTCAAGAGGAGCCCTGCAATTTAAAACAGAGCAACCACCAGAGTCTCAGAGGTACACAGGAGCACCCTTGATGGGAGCAGGGAAAGAAACTGGCCCTGGGAAAAAAAAAAAACTTGGTCAGGATCTAACTTGGTGCCAACCTCATGCTGCCTGAGGAGTAAGAACCCCCAAGGGACTTGTTAGTTCTTCTGTGGACATGCTCTTCCTTGAAAGGAAGCCACCACCGATGACTTCCTAATAAATGTTAGGACCCTCTGGGAGGCCAGCAGGGATGGAGCAGGACTGAGTGCCAAAGCATCCACGAGGAGGAGCGAACTGTTGGGGCACAAACGTAAAAAGGGGGAGAAAAGGCTTTTATAGTGAAATAAGTCTAGGAACAGCAAGGGAAACATCTAAACAGGACTCCTTAGTGCAGGACTTTCCAGAGGCTTAAATACACCAAAGATATTGACTTCTCCAAGAGAGAAATGTGGTGTATTGCCACTCCCAGACTTCTTGACTGCAGAATCCCCTCCCCAGGAAGCACCTGAGCTCAGAGATCACCCATCTTCTGCAAAGGTGGCCTGAGGAAGGCCAACCCCTAGGAATGCCAGGCAGGTGCTCCACAGAACCCCAAGCTCAATCACTTACAATAGCAAGACAAAGCAGCTAGTTTAACTCGCCTGTAACCAAATAGGTCAGACAGCAAAGGAAGAAGAGCAATAAAGCCCAGGAGTATGTTGGTGCCGAAGTACATCAGTCCTGAGACACATGTTTCTTTTGATGTTTTTACAACTCTGAAATCTCAAATCAAGATGTGTGTCAGAGTGGCTGGTATATGACAATCTCTGTTTGCCCTTGGCAATCTTGACAGGTTCTCATTACCTTAGCATGACCAACATCAGCAACTTGGAAAAAAATCATGGAAAAATGGAGATGTACTCTTGTTGGAACTCAGAACCAGATGGCTGTGGGAGCAGATGCCAAAGCGGGGCAGGCTAAGAAGCATTCAGCACATTCCTGAGCTGGAGCCGGGCAGCTAGCTGCCTTGCAAAGCCAGGTAAAGTGCTGGCACCAACTGCTTTGCATCATCGTACAGATGCTTTTAAGAAACTCCAGTGCCTGTAATGGCTCAGATGGCTCAAGATCACGAACATCAATGACAATGAAAAGCCAGGCAGACGAACTGGAGTCTAGACATGGAGAAGACTTAGGAAGACCTCAACCTGCTGCAGCCTCTTTTATTTCCTTTTTCTATAAGCATAACAATGACAGATGAGGAAACCCTATGTCTAAGTTCAAAGAGCTCCTTAAACAAGCAAAAAGTAGATTCTGAGTGGTAAGACGCCAGCAGACCATAGTCTAATGAGCAGCGGCTTTTCCTTCTTGGTGGTCCATAACAGGGGGGTGTTGAAAATCAACTGTGACTTACAATTAATGAAATGGGTACCTGGCTTTAAATGAATGCATTTCAATGAATTCTCCCTCCTCTCCAAAACATTTTGTGTTTTATGTTTAAATAACTAAAATTTCTAAGGAAACTGGAGTCACTACCCTTACAGTGAAATCTTGAAACCTGCCCCGGGTCCCTTATTCTTTAAGGTTTCCAAGTCGTCAGCCTCGCCTTGTCGGGGGCCCTAGCAAGCTGCCACCTAAGCTGCAGCTCTTAACAGACCCCCGCCTCTGAGCTTTCCTCAAGAACAAGGCTTCGCACTAGACCAAGTCCCTGGAGACAACCTAGCCTCTTCTAAGTTTGTGTTTTCCTCTGCAATTTCCTTTTTATAGTTGAAGCCAGTGCTGAGGTCACGCAGCCTCGGCTGATCTCAATTACACCCCGCTGAAGCAGTGGGGTGATCCAGCCCTCTCCCCTCCTTGGCTTCCCCTCTATAAAAAGAGGGCATTAGATGAGACTCTCTCCAGGACTCCCTGACATTGGCATTCCACACTCGATGTTGACTCCCTAGAAAGATCGAATGTATTATAGGTATTTTATTTGTACTGTATACAAAGTAGACATATCAAAATCAACCATTTTGCCTTAATAAGAAGATACAGTTTTTTACAACACTTACAGCCTCCTAGAAAACCCCAGAACATTATAAATTAACATTTTTCAAAAAGTCACATAACATAGACCGCCATCACTCTGTATTGCCTTCTGTTTTTCAAAATCGTCTATTTTCTCATCTGGAAAGTAACCAGAAGTGCTAGATCTTAACAAGCTTCCTAAATTGAGGTGGGCAGTTATGATGAAGTTACTTATTGATATTACCTACAGACATTGGATTGTAAGGATGTGGGGTTAGGTTCATGGTCTCCTTGTCTGCTGAGGTGTCCCTAGCCTGATGCACAGTGCATACCAGGAGCTAGATGCCAATTTACTAAACAAAGGAATGGATGACTCATTGGCATTATGAAACAGAAACTGAGGGCAAAATGAGCATTTAACTGTCTGCTGCAGTATACCACTACAAATCAGTACAGAGGATTGAACTAGACTAATCACTCTTCTGGATTTTCTTCCCTCCAGAACATGATCCTGAAATGTAACAACAAAACTTGCATTGTTGTTGGCCTAGGTGGATGGGTGATTAATATTGAAATTTTCAAGATTATTTGTAATATATGCAGATGCCTCTGCTCAATCCTAATAATAAACCATACAGCTTCAACTGAGCAAAAGGGGAAAGCTAAGCTAGATATTTTAATTTTCTGAATTTTATTTATGTGTTTTTTAAATTCAACCTCTTGAGAGAAACTTTGAAGGAAACAGATGCAGAGACAGACCCCAGACACCAATATTAACAATTCCCCTCCAAAAAGAGAATGCCATGAGCTCTCCAAACGGGGATGAAACATGTTCTTTGGTGGCAGACCATTTCCTCCCGAGGAGGAAAAAGATGAAGTTCTTCGGGGTCTTGACTTATGACAAGGGAGAGAAGCTCTTGTGGGTGTGGTTCTGGAAGATGAGCCACAGAGCCCATTACGACCAGTCCTCGCAAGTTTCTCTGGAGCAGAGACGGAACGCTGCTCCCAGACACTGCTCCTTTGTGAGCATGGATGAAGGAACACAGCAAATGTACCAGATGCCCGGAATAAGTGGGGATGATGGGCACAACAGGTAAGTGCTGCCGCTGCCAAGAGACCCAGCAAGAAGTGGGGAAAGGTTTAAATCCCTGCTGCTTTCCTGGTTTGGAGAGCTGATTTTATTTTTATTTTAAAAATAAAAATCATTATTTTATCCATTCATCTATTGAAGGGCATCTGGGTTGGTTCCACAGTCTAGCAATTGTGAATTGTGCTGCTATGAACATCGATGTGGCAGTATCCCTGTAGTATGCTCTTTTTAGGTCTTTAGGGAATAGACCGAGAAGGGGAATAGCTGGGTCAAATGGTGGTTCCATTCCCAGCTTTCCCAGGAATCTCCAAACTGCTTTCCAAATTGGCCACACCAATTTGCAGTCCCACCAGCAATGTACAAGTGTACCCTTTTCCCCACATCCTCGCCAGCACTTGTTGTTGTTTGACTTCATAATGGCTGCCAATCTTACTGGAGTGAGATGGTATCTTAGGGTGGTTTTGATTTGCATTTCTATGACTGCTAGAAATGGTGAGCATTTTTTCATGTACTTGTTGATTGATTGTATGTCCTCCTCTGAGAAGCGTCTGTTCAGGTCCTTGGCCCATTTGTTGATTGGGTTATTCGTTTTCTTATTGTTTAATTTTTTGAGTTCTTTGTATACTCTGGATATTAGGGCTCTATCTGAAGTGTGAGGAGTAAAGATTTGTTCCCAGGATGTAGGCTCCCTATACCTCTCTTATTGTTTCTTTTGCTGAGAAAAAACTTCTTAGTTTGAGTAAGTCCCATTTGTTGATTAACTCTTGTGCTATGGGTGTCCTATTGAGGAATTTGGAGCCCGACTCCACAATATGTAGATCATAAAAAAAACGTGGCATTTATACACAATGGAGTATTACTCTGCATTAAAAAATGACAAAA